TGTGCAATCAGTTTCCAAATGTTCTGTTTTTTATGACAAGCATGATTCATGCCAGGTGAAAGTCCATGGAACCACAGCGCTACTCCACTGAGTTTAGGGCCCTTCCATCCTGCCTCTTCTGGGTTCAAGTTATGATTTCTGTTTTTCAGTCCAACAAACCTGGTCTTCTAATTACACGAAGTTAATTTAAATGAACTAATCATATTCCAGTGTTCTACCTTAGACTACCGGTTACCAGGCAGAAGAAAGACATACAGAGGTATTTTCTAGAAAAGGAGATCATAGTTACTTTTAGGGCCAAGGGAGAAGGTTGTGATTAGGGACGGGTTAAGGGCTGCTTCTGAAGCCGGCAAGGTTCTAGCTCCCGTCCTGGGAGGTCATTGCACAGGTGTTGCCCTGTGAGTAGTCTTGGAGACATGTTCATACTGCCCCCTGGTGGTCACTTGGGGAAATCTCCAAAGTGGGAGGCGACCCTGGTGACTCTCTCCCAGGCCCTCAAGTTCCCCAGTGGAACCTGCAGCCAAGGAAGAGAAGCCGTGGAGGTACAGCATCCAGGGAAGGAGTGAAGGGGAAAGATTCTCTGCATCTCCAGCCCTCTGTGGTGCAATGCTTTGCTTGATTTCAGGCCCCACTTAGCTGCCAGGGCAAGCTACTGCCTGGTCCTGCCTGACACTGACCTGGCCTCACCCTGGGCTGGTGAGGATGGAGCACAGACTGGGACTCTGCAGGGATAGACACTGGCTTGGAGCATCGTGGCCTCTCTATTGGTTCCTTGTAAGCTCCACGACTCCACACGCATTCACCTCCAAGGCCTGGCAGGCAGCCCACTCAGAGCCCACCTGAGTTGGGCATCCAGGACTCTCTGACTCCCCACTTGTCTGGTCTCCTCCAAACCCATGGCCCCTCTGCCCTCACTAAAATAATCCCTAAGGGCATCTAAATTGTGCATTTTATATTAAATTCCTCTTGTCATTGTTCGCATAATGTATTGCCAGATTTACTCTTCATTCATGTAGTTAAAACAATAAAATGATTGGCAAATCCTACCATTTGCAGCAACATGGATGGACCTGGAGGGTATTATGCTCAGTGAAATAAGCCAAAAGAGAAAGAGAAATACCAAATGATTTCACTCATCTGTGGAGTATAAGAACAAAGGAAAAACTGAAGGAAAAAAACAGTAGCAGAATTACAGAACCCAAAAATGGACTAACAGGTACCAAAGGGAAAGGGACTGGGGAGGATGGGTGGGTAGGGAGGGATAAGGGGGGGGAAGAAG